CATGTGTGCACACAAGTGAGGGAGAAGGGGCAGAGGGAGAGGGACAAGCAGACTCCCCCGCTGAGCAGGGAGCCCGATGCGGGACTTGATCCCAGGGCCCCAGGATCATGACCTGAGCCGAAGGCAGATGCCTAACTGACTGAGCCACCCAGGCGCCCCTAAAAAAAATTTAGAAACGAAAACAGAACACTGTACATCCTCGACTTTTACCAAACATGCTGTTTGAATGCTCAGTGTTCGCATAGGCGCAGCGATAGTCTTCCAGGTGCATATCCATCCTTCCCCTCTACCAAGCGGAGCAACCCTTTCTCAGTGTGGGAACTAAAGATTTTTATGCTGGCCACTAGCCAAAAAGTGGAAAAGTTGGACTTTTTCCCAACAGCACATACTGATGTGCTAAGTAAGGATGCTTCCCTGCCTCTGCCTGGGAGCCTGGATCAGGATACCAGTGGACTGTCATCATCGCAGTCTCCGTGGTCTTAAAGGGTCCTGTGTGTGCTTCCCCAGGGCCAGGTTTCAAGTGGAAAGACAGCAGTTGGGGAACTGCAGGATTCCAGAGGATTAGGGGCTCTTACGGCCAGTATATGCTGGGTTATCGGGCGAGATAAAAGCTGTTCATGGCTTAAATGTGAATGTGACATAGGGGGTATTGTTAGTATTGATGACTCGCGTTTTTTTAACTCGACCTAAAACCTCATTCCTGATGTGAGGCTTGCTGCCGTTGTGCAGGTTGAGTGAGCCGAGCATGGCCTCCGTAAGCGGGCAGCTGGAGGGGCTGTACATGGCCCACAGCCGGAAGGACATGAACGACACCCTGACGGACGCCCTCCTGAGCGCCTGTGCCCCGGACACCGCCATGCCCAGCAGGCTGGTGATGGAACACGTGCTCCTGCTCAGCGTTCTCCACCACACGGTCGGGGTTGAGGTAGGGCTCCCTTCCCCTGTGCTGTGCGTCACGGTGGGCTCCATATGGTGGGTCCTGTGTGTCTCTGTCACGTGAACACTTGATTTTGCGTTTGGTCCATTCTAACGTGCCTTCGTCACTTATTTTTCTCTGGACTGACATTTTGGACTTGCCTTCATGTTCTTCGTATTCCGACTCTAACAGGGACTTGTTTCAGATATTCGGAACACAGTGCTCCGGATGGTGTTACTACTCGGGTATTCATGCTGGGTGGAGAGCACTCTTTCGGAAGTGAGAAGGCCAGCAGCACGGGAGGTAAACCCGGATTTAATGAAGTGAGGGACACCTGCGACAGGGCCGAGGCTCGGGGCCGCCTGCGCCCCCTCCAGATGGGCCCGGACCCTCCCTCCCGCGCCCTCCTCTGTGAAGCGGGGCCTTTGTCAGGACTCAGTCGGGCCGCGCACATAAAGCACCTGCATGATGCCTGGTACCAGATAGGTGCTGCCGAGCGAGTCCTTGTCCCCCTTCGTCTTGTGCCCTTTGTCCTCGCTCGGTGGCCCTCTGGGTTAGCGTCAGGGAGGCTGTGTGGTGCTGGCTCTGGTTCTGATAGAAAGGCGTCTTCTGTCACCTCATACGGTGAGTCACAGCCTCCAAGCATTGTTCCGTCCCCCGGTGTGGCTTTTCCCAGGGTTGTTGGAGGAAACCGCTCTCATCGCAGGACTTTATACTGAGGCTCGGGAATGAACGGACGATTCGTGAGTAGGGCTTCCTTGTCCCAGGTGACGTTCATACAGAAGAACTCACTGACCCTGTGGGTCTTTCTGTGGGGCAGTATCTTTCATGGTGGTTTGGTTTCTTTGCTTCCTGATCACCCTCCCCCCCGGAGAGGACAGCCTGGCCCTTGGGGAGGTGTGCACACTTGTGCCTCCCTTCCTCCTGTCCTCTCAGTTCCCGGCAGGGCCCGGAGAGCAGGTGGGCAGCTGCACTTCACGCCCACAGCAGAGCCTGGGGAAACCGTGCGCTGAGCCACGTGGCAGCTGCAGACCCATCTGGAGCTGTTGTCAGCACCCAGGTCTGCACGCTTTTCCCCTCGTTCTGTTCGTCGTTGCTCCCAGAACTTGCTGGAGTCTTGCAGAGCAGGCCTGCACAGGGCTCACTTTAACGGCCACAGACTTGCTAGACTCCGTGTCCTCCGTGCCGCTAGAGGTTCTGCCATGAAAGCGGTGCGCCATGTGGGGAGACGTCGCCTGTGGCTGCCACAAGGCCCCTGTCACCGGGCAGTCTCCGCGCCAGTGTCTTCCCGCGTAGTGTCGGTTTAGCGGGTTCTACGTGCGGCGAGTGTATTCGGGGCCTTGGCCCATAGGAAGTGCTAGTCATCCTAACTTCTGCCTGAAGCGGGAAGTTTTCAGGTTGAAAGTCTCTTCTCCTCACCGCCTGTCCTGCCCCTGCAGGCTACATCGCTCTCCGTAGACAACTTTGGAACCAGGCTTTCCCATCTAGCGGCAGTCACAGCCTGTGAGGTTTGGAAGGTGCCAATTCTAGGACCTTCTGGGTGTTGGGAGGTGGGGACAGAGAGACACAGGCCCCGAGTCTTCTGGGCAGCAGGACTCTCCTCCGTGACGTCTGTGCCAGCCATTTAGAGAATTTCCCTTCTGAAGCAATTGTTTTATTTCTAAGAGCTGTCCTCATTTTCACATAAGACACTGCGAGTCTCTTCTCTTCGTTATGAAGTGTGACAGAGTCACCGGATGCCATTCCTGGTGCCCCGGGCGTGCCATGATTCAGTGCCATTATTAGAGAGCTTTCTGAGCACCCCCCGTCCTCCCGCCTCACGCCGTGTACTTCGTAATCTAGAGGATTCTCATAGGGACAGTAGTTTGAGTTACAGTTAAGAGCTGTAGGCCCTGACCGCCCACAACATGCAGGGATTCACTGGACTTGAACACCGGAGGTTATTGGTCCTCCTTATTCAAACCTCTGCTAACAGCGCGAAGGACATCTGAGTTGACTCGTTCCATGGGAAGCTGTTAACGGTAGTTGGCTAACAAGGCCCACTAGCACTTCTCCTAGCGGGTGACGCGCTCCCGGGACTAGTGCCAGCATGCTTCTTGCAGTTCTGTGAGAAAAACATGCTCATGGGAATTCATGGAAGGGGAGAGTCTAGCGAAGCCCGTGTCGTCAGTTACTGAACTGCTTCTCAGTCATTTAGAAATAAAAATCAGGTCTGTGCAGATCTGTGTTAAATTCCCCAAGTCAGAATTAATGTATATTCTCAAGTAACTTCAGCAACATGAACGTTATTCGTATTTTTAAATGTTATCCTAAGTAGGGGCGTCTGGCTCTCTCAGTCGGTGGTACGTGGGACTCTTAATCTCAGGGCTGTAAGTTCCAGCACCACGTTGGGTGTGCAGATTACTGAAAAATAACATGTTAAAAAATAGAAGTCATACTAAGTTATATTTTATTTTGAAGATACTAACTGGAATCTAAAGTTTTGAAGAATGCTAACATAATTATTCTACTCATGTGATTGAAAACATACCTATATATGTTTTATGCCTGAATTTTTCTTGCTCTCTGCAGAGTTCTGATTTCTCTTCAGGTCATATTTGAGTACAGTATTCTTCCTCGTCCACGTTTCAGGTGGTCATTTCGTGGCCGGTGTGCTGACGTCCCTCCCTGCCAGCACCGAGCCCCCTGCCTCTGTCCCCCTTCAGCCTTAACTTGAGCCGGAGAAATGAGTTGTTCATAGCAGTACATTTTTAGAGCTGTAGGTGTGTTCTTGACATTTTTTAATAATTTTATTTTTTTAAGGAACCAGAATGGCTGCTGGCCAAAAATACGACCTTGTTGATGATAAAGACCAGAGGATGTACTCGGGTTTGGGAGCCGCGGCAGATCACCGTGTGCCATTCACTGTGGCCTTCTCCCATGTGTATAGCGCTGTACATTCAGACTTCGGTTTTTAGAGTTCATGCCATGTTGGGGTTTATACCCTACTGTTTGTATATTTTATGTGTCAACTTAAAAAAAGCACTGATTTTTTTCAACATACATCTTAGCTTGTTGAAAGAGGAAGAAGGATCCCTGTGAATAGCTGCTAACGTCTGGTTTTTACATGTTTGCAGTGATACTTTTTCTGCCTTCTTTGTCCAGGTCGGTGCTCACTTTTTGGAGGCCGTGGTGAGGAGGTTTGACGCCGTCTATAAGAACGGAGGTGAAGGGAAGGAGTGTGAGAACTTGCTCACCATCGTCGCCCATTTGTATAACTTCCGCGTGGTACAGGCTTGCCTGGTCTTCGACGTTTTGAAAAAACTTATCGGAACATTCACAGAAAAAGATATTGAACTGACCCTGTTAATGCTGAAAAACGTGGGTTTTTTGTTGAGAAGAGATGATGCTTTGTCACTTAAGGAACTGATCGTGGAGGCCCAGGCCAAAGCCAGCGAGGCCAGTGGCAAGTTCCAGGACCAGACCAGGGTACGCCTGACCTGCTGCCTGAGTGCTCACACACTGACCAGAGCTTAAAAATAAGTATTTGGGGTAAAATCGCATTTAATTTCTTAGTGATCCCCATTGTCTTCTGCCTCATCAGGTTTTGTGGCTTTATCATGAATCAGTATGTGAGTGAACTTTGGTTTTCTGCTAAGAACTCAGGTATTCTGTGAATTGAAGAATCAGTTCCTTTAACGTTGATCCATTCAAACAATATTTACTGAGGAGGGCTGTGTGGCATATGGGCCTCAGGCATCAGCACTCTTGGATTTTCCGCTCTGCTGCTTAACAGTGATGGGCCCTGGGTCTTCCAAGCCTTGGTTTCCCCATCGAGGAAGTGGGGGCTGATTGTGGCTCTTACCTTACCTGCCGGTTGACAGGCATGGGCGAGCCCTGGGAAGCCCACAGGGGAGAAGAGGACGTCACTAGGAACAAGAGAAGTGTTCTGTCAGGAGCCTGCGGGGGAGCAGGGCAGGAGGAACGGGCAGAGGCTGGCCTCAGGAGGTCTTGTAAACCCTTTCAGGGGCTTGGGATTTTAAGAGGCCCTACCTGAAGAGAGCTGAGCAGGTAAATGATGTATGCTGTTTTCATGGCACTTTACACCAAGAAAAGGGGGAGGTGGGCAGGGCGGGGAGACGCCACCACAGTGGTCTGGCAGGGAGCCTTAGCATCGTAGCAGTGGGTGTGGGGTTAGGAGTTAGAGGTGACCGGAGGGCGTGGGCTGGAGGGAAGGGCGGTGTGAAGGGCAGGAAGGGCCAGGGTTACCCCTGGTGGACAGCAGGGCAGGAGGAGGAGACAGACTCAGGAGGAAAACAGGCCCACTCTGGAAATCCTGAAATGAAGAGGTGCGGTCTCAGGATCTGTGCAGGCTGGGGAACTGCTAGCGTCCAGTGGGGTGTGGACAGAGCCCCGAGGTTTCAGAGCACCAGCATTCAGCTGTGTTGTCGAGGGGAAGAGGAACAGGACGAGGCTTCTGGAGCCAGGTCCCAGAGTGTCCCAAGGAAGCAGTTGTCCCTGGTTGAATGCTCAGAGGCCAAGCTTAAAACACGAAAGTCAGCAGAGGCAGGAAGTAGCCTCTGTTGCCCAGGGATGGGGGGATGGGGAGTGCCCATGATAGGTTTGGGGTTTCTTTCTGGGGACGATGAAGATGTTCTGAAATTGATCCTGGTACCTGCACACCCCTGAACGTGCTCAGTGTACACTTTTAAACAAGTGAGGTTTATGGTGTGTGAATTAGATCTCAATAAATAAGTATTTGGGGAAATCTCAGAGAAAGGTATGCAAAAATTCTTTTTTATTGTTTTTGCAACTTTTCTCTAATTATGACGTTTTCAATTTAAAAGTTAAAAAGGTGAGAAGGCCAGGAATGGGGAAGAAGTTGAAATATCATGTAACTAAAACCACGGGGGTAGGAGGGGTGCCAGGGGCGGTTCAGAGGTGTTGGGGGGCTGACGAGAGGACGTCCGATCTCGGGAGGTGCTCAGGGTCCCAGGGGAGGCCAGGTGGCACAATCGTACTGAAATATGTGGTCCTGAGCAGGAGGTCCTGTTGGCGGTGACTGTCTCCCTGGAAGACCATCTCTGGTTTACCGTCGGCAGCAGTGGTCCTGTGCGTGGCCGGTGTAGTTCTTCCCAGGCAGAGGGTCCGTTGTTCGGGCTGTATGAAATAATGGTTTCTTCCGTTTTGTTTTGTTAAAGGTTCGGTTTATGCTGGAGACCATGTTGGCCCTGAAGAACAATGACATGCGTAAAATCCCAGGCTATGACCCCGAGCCTGTGGAGAAGCTCAGGAAGCTACAGAGAGCGTTGGTGAGGCCCTTGCCCTTCCTCATCTCCCGCTCCCGTGTCTGCATGGACTCGTTGTGAAACTGTGGAAGGCAGTTGGAGCTCTAAGTCAGGTGCCGTGTCTGGTTACTAAGAGTTCCAGGATCCTGCCTGAGAGGAAATGTCACATTTCTGTGCTGAGACCCTCGGAGTGGTCCGGGTGCGGGGCCGTCCCTGTGAGTTCAGCGTCCCCAGCACTTAGCCTGTGGCCCTCAACTCGGCCGCGCAGTACAACTCTGACCGCTTTGAAGGAGGGCTCAGGCCGGGGTCCCACCCAGCCCAGTGACATCCGCGTGGGGGTGCTGGGGGCTCACCTGTTGAAGCTCCCTGGGTACTCCTGATGTGGGGCCGCAGCCGAGACCCACCGCCATCCCCAGCCAGGGGGTCCCTCGGCCCTGGCTCTGGGCAGCTCCGGAATCGTTGGCTCGGCAAACCCCAGGCGCTCCTGGGCAAGGTCTCACCACCAGCTCCAGGCAGCTCTCCTCGGGGCCTGCGTCCGAGCCTCCTCCCTGGTGTGACAGCTTTCCAAAGACAGCGGCATGTGGGGTGACAGACCCACAGACCTCAGACAGGAGCACTGAGTTTCCCTCCACCTGCGGCATTATTCCAAACTGGCTCACTGTCCCAGCTGTCAGGGACTCAGCACAATGTTCAGGGTCAAACGCGAGAGAAGCCCGAGGGTGACGGTGGTGCCCGCCAGGAGCCAACAGCACTGTTTGACTGGCTTCTTTCTGTCAGGTACAGAGCGCTAGCTCCGACACGGACACTCGGCTCCGCATCTCCTGGGATGGCATCCTGAGCGCCGAGCAGACCGGGCGCTGGTGGATCGTGGGGTCCGCGTGGAGCGGCGCTCCTATGATTGACAACAGTCAGCAGAAGGTCCTGGAGAAGCAGCCCTCGGGGACGGTATGAGAGCCCTGCGCGGTCCCCCGGTGTCCCGCGGCCTGCCCTGCAGGAGCCGCCTGATCCCTTGCACGTTACGAGATGTCCTGGCGTGCGTGTCTGCAGAGGCCTTACGGAAACCCTTTGCTGTATGATACGATTCCATTCCATTTCTGTGGTTTCAGTCCCAAAATAGCATACGTAGAGGACTTAAAAGTTGAGTGGAACGAGGGGAGCGTAGGAAAACCCGGACAGTCAGCTTGCAGACAGTGGCCTTGAGAGGTAGACAGTTTCCCAGGAGGTGTGGCTTCTGGTCCATTAGGCTCGGATTTCAAATTGTTGGAATTCTTTGTATTTCTTTGTATTTGATTATTAACTAAAGTCCATATGTTATTCAGATTTCCTTCATTTTTCTCCTAATACTGTTTTTTGTCTCAGGATCCCATGTCACACCTCGTCGTCCTGGCTCTTCTGGCTGTGGCCACTTTTAATTTATGTCCTCATTGCCCGGACTGACAGGTTGTGCTGCTCCTGAGACGCTCCCCCGAATCAGGCGGTTTTCTCCTCTCGTGCCTTGCTTCGTCTCTTGCTGTGGTTTTCTCTTCATGGGAGTGTACCCAAGAATAAAGATTTAGCACTCACATATATGTATTTCCACGTAACTTAAAATTAATCTTCGTAACTTAGAATTAATCTTCGGTAAAGCCATGGAAGAATACGTGTTATCTTTTAGAAACTTCCTAATCACAGTAGACCAGAGTAACTTTTCCTTGAAGCATCCTTGTGGTCTGTGCCTAAATTGCTCCTCTTTCAGGTTAGCGGGAAGATACTAGAACTTGCCCGAAAGCAGAGAATGAACACTGACGTCAGGAGAAACATTTTCTGTACAGTAATGACTAGTGAAGATTTTTTGGACGCGTTTGAGAAGCTTCTGAAGTAAGCATTAGTGCAAACACTTTGATTAGATGTTGTTTGAGAAATCCGCACAGTTGGGTTTTGCGTCACGGAGGGTTGGGTCAGATGCTGCTCGGGGCAGCTGGGCTGTCCTTTCTCTCCTCCTTCCCTGGGTCCAGGCATGCACTAGTCAGCAGTCTTGCTCCTGCTGACTGGCCACTAGTAGTTCCAAAACATTTTCTGATATATTTTGATTAAAAGTATTAGGTGACCAACTGATTAGTGACAGTGACTGTTGGTTGTCTTAAATTGCTTAAAATTCTCATATTGAGGTTGTGTTTTTGATTACTTCTAAATTAAAACTTCCTGGTATAGTTTCTGTAATTAGTTGTAAAAGGATATTAAAAAAGGGCGCCTGGGTGGCTCAGT